TACTTTTTATTAAAGTTACAGCTATTTAGATTTTTAAAAAAATATTTGATTTTTGAAGAAAATATTTTACTTTTGACTTCTGCTTTTTTGAGAAGCTAAAATTTTTAGCTTCCGAAAAAAGTAAGTTTTTGGCTTTTTTTACGACTTCTGCTTTTTTTAAAAGCAGACATCCAAACAGACTTTTTTCGAGAAGTGCTTTTTTTTTCTTAAAAAAAGCAGCTTTTGAAGAAAAAAAGCTCATCCAAACGGGCTCTTATTGTTTGAGCGTAGTTGCAAACTTTTTCAGATAACAGGAAACCTTCTTTTCACTTTTCCTCTTATTTTTTGTTTCAATTTTTATTTTAGATTGATTTAATGATAAGAGTTAGGATTGTGCCAATGGAGAATTGACAGGAAAGTTAGTTAGTAAATTTAATTCATTATGTGATGACTTACACCATTTTTAATTTTTGATAAATGAACACTGATTAAGTAAATCCAAAAAGTTAGCAGGAATATTAGGATTACATTATAAGTGATTGAGAGAGAGCACGGTTAACTGAATTGCACACTCAAAGCCGTGAGGTTTGAGCCTAAACTGAAAATTTATTTTTGGTTTGCACTTTACTGTTGAAAATACTTTAGAACTTGCTTTGTTTCTCCTTGAGGTGGTTGATTGCATGAACTTTTGACATGATTGAGGTATTTTATTTCTTGTTTTAGCTACTTGGCCAGATAGCCACCCATTTTGATATCCTTTGTTTAGCTCCGTTGAGCCTAAGCCTGTTTATTCTTGAATAACCTGTTGGTTTAATTAGCCATTCCACACATACATCTACCTTAGACAAAATTGGATTGTAGAACTTTTATGGTAGGGTGTAAACATGAGCATTATGTCTTACGATGCTTAGTGGTGAAAAAGGAGATTATGAGAGTTGAGCAAAAACAAAGGTTGAAAAATGGTGAATAAAAAAAATAATTATTAGTTTATGTTACCTCTTTGAATTTTGTGCAAATAAAAGTACACACACGCACACACACGCGCACACACACACACACACACATATATATATAGAGAGAAAATGAAAAAGAAAAAGTTTTGGGTTTGAAAAATACAAGTGCTAAAAAAAAGGATGAAAAAGGAGAAAAAAATTGTTTGTTTAAATTGCTTACACTTATACCATGATCTTTCTGTGTTCTAAATCTTTAGCCATATTTTTCCTTAATTATCCTACCTTTAGCTAGGCCCTATTACAACCTAAATATAAACCTCTTGGTCTTTTGTGCATGTTATTAAATTGTGGAGAGTGAGAATATGACCAAGCTTATGGTAGTATTGATTCATTGAAGGTTTGCGTGAAACACTTACCCTTTAGATACTTGAGGATAAGTGACTTTATAATTCAAATGAGGGGTGTGTTTAAGCTTAGTTGCTATACTTGATTGATAGATCTCCTACTATGATTTTATGACCTACTTGCTTTTGGAATTCAGATTCTTGTTCTAAAGACTCTGTTGTTTTTAGCTAAGTCTGATCATTTATGAATTGATTTACTATCTGATTCTTATATTGATAATTCATTGAGCATAATTTCTATACTTTTGCATTTTCCCTCTATTTTTAAATTAGTCCATTGTCGGGGACAATAATGAGTAAATCTAGGAATGATTTGATAAGTGTCAAATACACTATTTTTTAGGATAAAAAATAGATTAAATAATGATGAATATGATCAAGAACATAGTGATAATTAATGAATACAAAAGAATATAGGGTTTTAATAATTGGAGATGATTTTGACTTCTTTTATAATGTTTTTAGGTTTAAATTGATGAATCATAATTTTGATTATTATTAAAGTTGGAAGAGATGAAATCCAAGCCAAGAATTGAAGAAAAATGTATTATTTTATGCTCGTTGGCTTGCTCGCTTCGGCGAGGCCAGTGAGGACGTTGTTCTCCCTCGCTCTCAAACTCGCTCCAACGAGCAATATAAGTGAGATGATCGCATTTGCTCGTTGAGGAGCTAAGCAGCTCGCTTATGCTAGCTCCTCAGCAAGCTGTGACCCAATTAAAAGCCCATGAATTTTCTCTTTAAAAACACACTTCTAGGGTTATTATTCATCATTCATCTGTGGCTAGAGACGACTCGGAGAGCAAGGAGAGCAGTTTCTTAAAGGAAAGGAAGGAAAAATAAGTCAAGAATTCACTGTGGAACATCTTTAATTCGGTTTTATCTTGAATATTCTTTATCTTTCATCTATTGTTATTATTTTCACGAAAATGTTAGGCTATGTTTCTTTATATAGTTAGGGTAAGATGGAACCAATGGGTTCCTAACGTTGTTTTATGCTTTCTTATAATTAATATTTATGTTTTAAGTTATGCAATTAATATATTTCCAATTCTTAGTCTCATTTATGATTTGGCCAGTTTTGAATGAGCATTAGAAACTTGCATGGCAATAGGAATATTGCATTCTTGATTTCGATTGATTAATTGCTAGGGTTTGTATGATCTAGACATAGGCTTATAAATTCTATGACTTTATAATTCATGCTCTAGGAAAAACCTCTAAAGGATTAGGGTTTTGAATAAAGTAAATGATTAAATCACCAAGGCATTGAGGGTTTAGTTAATTTTGAAAGAATTGTCGATAACTTGATCTTGAATATTTATTGCAAGAAAAGATAGAATTGTTAGGAAAACGTTGGGGAATCGAATCCCTACCTATGCTTGTCTTTGATTAATTTCAACCGTTCTTGATTGTGTTCTTGCGTTCTTAGTTATTGTTCTTGGTTTTTAATCTTGAAAATAAAAAATAATATTTTTTAAAATTCTATTTTTTTTTTTTTTTTTTTTTGATAACATAAAATTCTATTTTTACAATTTAAATCATATTCTCAAGAAAACTCTTTATCAATCAATCAAACTTTGATCGTGTAGATAAATTAGTGTTTGATATATCAATTCTCGTGGGAACGACAATTTCACTCTTTTCACTATCTTACTTGTACGACTAATACACTTACCGAAGTCATAACTCACAACAAAGAAAAATGGAGGAATGAAAAATGCTTTAGTGAGAAACACCAGAGATAAGGATATAAAATATAGATTCATCAATAACATTCAATCTCGACTTATTTAATAAATAGGTTTGATTTTCAACTTAAGTTCATCTTAATAGCTCATTAACTTAACTTATTGAATTATTAACCAATCAATTCATGAGTATTTTTCAAGCTGACCCACTTTTATCATACCAGAGAGTTTCTTCTTATCTTAGATTTTTCTTTTCTTCTTCTTATTTTATAAAAATAATTAAGACTGAAAAAAGAAAAGGGAGAGATGGACGTCAATAGTTTAATAATTTTAAGCTACTATAATATAAGTTTAAAATCGAAAGTGCTTCAACTGAACTAATCGAGTAATTGGATGAATTAAAAAAATGTAAAATAAATAACTAAGTTTGTCAAAAACTGCCAACAAAGTGGACACACTTGGCTAAGGGTTTGGTCCATATCTCTCAAGGGCATGGGTTCAAACCCCAGTGGGATACCGGTGTCTAACCCCACTTAAACTTTCCCTTGTACAAAAAAAAAAAAAGTTTGTCAAAAACTTTTAAGCTAGCATATGAGGTATTTCTAGAAAATATAATAAAAATAGAGAAAAATATTTCTACTTTCTATTTCACTCGTATAAAAATGAATAGATGATGTAACAAAATTTTTCTGCCTCAAATCAGAAACTTTAAAAATAGGGGATGTTATACTTATTATCTTTTTTTTCATTACCTTTTACTACCAAATCTTAACCGTTGATTTCAGTCAATATAACAGTTACAATTTATTAGGTCACACTTATTAATTAATTATTAAAGGGAAAATATATTGTAACAACCAATTAATGTTACTACCAATGTTAGTTAGATCAATTATGTGAATCTGACAATTATATTTATTTCCATCTTTTAATGGTTATGATTTTCCATATTTAATACTTTATATTTATTTTCAACTTTGTATGGTTATGATTTTCCATATTTAAAACTTTCATATTAAATATAACGAATCATAACCATACAAAGATGAAAATAAATATAACCGTCGGATCAATATAATCGATCTAATGGTGAAATTGATTGGTAGTAATATTGGTAGTAATACTAATCGATTATTATAATATCCTACCATATTATTAAATTCTAATGAATTATAACCGTTAGATTTACGGAAATGAACTATTAAAATTTGGTAATATGAACCCAAGTGTGGTGGCTCAGTTGGTAGCATGGGGACTGAGTGGTGGGATAGGACCTCGGTTTGAATCCCACCAACACCGTCTGGGGAGGAGCATAAGTACCGTAATCCTTGGACTCGCACTCGAACTCTGGATTAGTCCCGTAGGCAGCTCAAAGAGTCGAACCCGTAGGGATATCGAGATTCTGATTTGCCTCAAAGAGGTAATAGACAGCTAAAAAAGTCGAATACATGGAAAACCGATATTCTGATTTGCCTCAAAGAGGTAATTAGGACCATTTAACAATTTTTTTTTTTTTTTTTTTTTTGGTAATATGAGATATATAGAAAATTTGATTTGGTAATTGGTAATCCTTTGAAATACAAGAAAAAAATATTTCAAACTCATACCACCCTCGCCAGCCCCATTTTTGTTTTATTTTTTATCGCACCACTATAAACTTGAAGCAGAAGTTATAGTTGTGTACATGTCCTTCATTCCCGATTTCACATATTCACATTCATGCTTTATGTGTGTGTTTTGCTGAGTTTGCATTTTGCAGTTGCATTGCGGTTCGTAGTTAGACAGTGACACACAGTATTCTCTCTCTTTCTTCCTCATTTCACACCTCAACTTAACAAAACGCATTCGAAGAACAAAACTTCGGCAACCAAAAAAAAAAAAAAAAAAAAAAAAAACGATAGAAACTGAAACGAAGAAGCATACAGATTCTTCTTCTTCTTGTTAACCTTTTTTGCAGAGCTTAGATGCGCGCCTCCACAGCAAGAAAACTATGCACTCTCAGCGCTCTTCTTCGTTCACACTCATCCCGCAAACCCAACATTGCCACATTAAAAAAATCTTCTCCTGAATCCAAAGACGAGTTCGGTTCTGGCCTCCACCTCTCAGCTCTTGACCTCAACCGTGCTTCTTCTCCAGGTACCCAGAAGCTAGCCAGCCATATTGCAAAGAAACACTCTCTGTTCCAACCAAGTTTCAATTTTTACCCCTACCCTCATTCTCATTTCTGCGTATTTTTATACCTTACCTTTATTGCGTTAATGGGTTTTGTTTTTTTGGAGCTCAATGAGTGGAAAAAGCATTGAGCTTTGTGTCATCGAATGCGTTGGTTTTGGTTGTTTTGTTTCCTCGGAGGTTACTATCTGTGTTTTTGGGCTATTTGGGTGTGTAATAATCTCGTTTTTACAATGTTTTGATGCAGAGGATTCGCCTGATGAAGAAGAGGCCACTACTCAGCTTTCTTCGATATTGCATAGTAAGTGTTTGTGAAATTTACTGTGAGAGTATAAGTCTTGTGTTTATCTCTAGGGCGATGGGAAAATGGGGAATTCAAATGTGCCTTTGCTTATGTTGTTACCTTATATTTATACTGTGTATGTGCTCTTTCTTTTTGTAGCCCCACCGGAAGAGGGGTTTGGTCCCGAGGAAGATGATGATGAAGAAAAAGGGAGAAGAGTAGTAGATATACCATGGATACCAGACCTGTCTCATGGTGATATATCACTTAAACGGAAGGAGGTATCTCGTGAGAGGAAACAAAAATGGATTTTTAAATACACAAGCAATGACCGTTTTGACAGGTTGCTTAAAATGTGCTCAAATAAACTAGGATCAGGAACTACCATTGACTTGTTTGGTTACTTAGGTCGGGAAACAGGTGTTAAAGAGTACAATGCATTGCTAAAAATGTGCGTTAAGAGGGCTAGAGCAACCAACGATGAATACATTTCTATAGAAGAACTGAGTAAGGCTTATCACCTTTTCAAATCAATGAGGGAATGTGGTTTTCAGCTGGAAGAGCAAACATATTGCCCACTTCTTCGGTATATAATTGACATGGGTTTGGTTCAAGAATTTCAACTTTTTTCTGATATGATCAAAGCTGAGAATCCCAGTTCAACTTCACGATTGGGTTACTATGAAATGATGCTATGGCTAAGAGTTAACAATGAAGAAATGATCCGGGATATCTGTGAATATATTACAGTTGAAGATAGTGATGACACTTCTGCTTTACGAGGTTGGTGAATCTGTTTTTCATGTGCTTCAATTTTTCATAATTTGTTCCGTCAAACATATATTTGAACATCCAGATCAGGATTCTAACCGTAACACGCCAGAAATTCATGATTTGCTTTATTTTACACATAGAGACAAGGATGATGCCTTTCACGACATATCCTTCTTCATTTGATGTGTTACCATTTGGTGTGAAGTGGGACTACTAAGTGACATGGTCTAAATGGATAACTGCATTGGATATGGATCTTTCCTGCCATTGTATTGCAATTAACAAATTTATCTTAATTCACATCTTAGCAATATTAGAAACATGGTAAGAAAACACAATTCATGCTAAATTATATTCCAGATACATTGCTGGCATCTGGCTTCTTAGTAGGAGGAATGCTAGCAACACATATTTTGACACTTTTTTTTCAACACTATTATTGGGTGGAGTCCAATGCTGACCCCACTAATAGAGAGCAGACTGGTTATTTAGTGGGGTCTGTATGGGATTTTACCCAAAGAGTGTTGAAAAGAGAGTGTCACACAATTTGTTGTTAGCATTGCTTCCTTTATAATAGAAGTGATGAAGCCAAGCATAGGTGTTCAAAATCGGCGCATCTGGTAACTTAAGATAATTATTAGCACAATTTTGCTTGTTTTATATCTTGACGTCCAATTGTAATAGAAATTTTTGCTTCATGTGGTACCAGAAACTTAACTGGATTCAATTCTTGTTGCAGAAAGTTACTTATTGGCTCTTTGTGAAAGTGATCGGAAGGCTCAGATTTTGGATGTATTGAAAAATATAGACATAACAAAGCTATCATCTGCAGAATCTATAGCAAATATATTCCAATCGTTAGGCCAGCTAATGCTGGAATCTGTTGCGGAGACATTACTTTTGGATTTGAGAGCAAGTGGTATGATTATGGTCTTATTTTCTTATCTAAGAACCTTTGCGGATGGTATTTAGGGGTAGCACACTCTTCTGTTTTTGAAAAGAAGACATTTTTTAATATGTTTTTCTTTTTATTTCTCAAATTCTGTTTCTCTTATGTTTCATATATATTTGCCGATCTTCTGTCTGGATTTTGGAATTAGTATTTGTAAAGAACCTTGGGATACACCACCCCAAAAGCTAGCTCAAAGGGTGGGAGTGCTCAAGACCTTATAAACTCCACATTAGTTGCACATACAACCAATATGGGACTATATATCTCAACACGCCCCCTCACACGAGAGCCCATTGGGCTTGAAGAGTGGATAATGCAACAGGCCCAGCCTACCTGTGCTACGAAACTCCACAAGAGAAAGTGGGGGCGGCGAGGCTCTGATACCATGTAAAGAACCTTGAGATACACCACCCCAAAAGCTAGCTCAAAGGGTGGGAGTGCCCAAGGCCTTATAAACTCCACATTAGTTGCACATACAACCAATGTGGATTAAATTGTGCTTAAGTTGCTGCAACATCTCATCTTTGTCCAACAACTCTGGTACCACTACCTACACCAATGTCTCCCCTTGTGTAAATGTAGGGATTCTGAGGGCGTCCTTCCACAGACAACTTCAATGGGTGTCAACCTCGTAGAACTGTGATAGGAGGTGTGATACCAAGGTCTAGCTCAATGGAGCCAAAAGTACCACTCCTTGGGTTGTTTGGAAGCTAAGCATCACAGGTAGGTCTTCAATATACGGTTCACCACCTCGGTTTGCCCATTCATTTTTGGGTGATAGGAATTACTCATCTGCAGCTTGGTGCCTTGGAGTCTAAAAATCTCTTTTCAAAAAGAGCTCATGAAGTAGGGGTCCTAATCATTTACTATGGAGTGTGGAATTCTAGGTAGCTATATAATTTCTGACAGATGTTTCTACTATTGTCTTGGCTGAGTATGGGTGTGTGAGACGAATAAATTGGCTGTATTTGGATAGCCTCAACAATGACTGGTATAGCTTCTAACTCTTTGGAATGAGGGAGCCCAACAATGAAATTCATGCTTAAGATCCTCCCACACTCCTTTTGGTATTCAAAGAGGTTGTAGTAGACCTGTTGGAGTGGTTGATTGGTACTTGTGCCTTTGGTAAATGTCGTTTGCTGCAATGTACTCTTTTAATGCGCGCTTCATGCCTTGTCAATAGAGGCTAGTAGCTAGCAGCTTGTCCATTCTAAGGACCCGGAATGGTGATTGGAAGGGGTGCCATGGCATTCTGCTAGGAGGGTAGAAAACCAATTGGAGTTAAGTGGTAGAATTAACTGACCCTTGTAAAGTGATTGCCTTTTTTCCCAAGAATATTTTGGAAGAGACAATGCAGTTCAGTAATTATTTTGCTCAATTTAGGATTGGCTCTTAACTTGGAATTGATATATGAAATTCCTTGCCATTGGAGGATTTTAATATAGCACAGTCCTTGCGGAGAGAGCATCTACTTCCTTATTCTCCCTTTCCCGCCTTGTAGATTATTTCAAAGTTGTACCCCATAGGTGTCGCTAGCCAATTTGCTAGTTTAATGCAGCAACCCTTTGTTCCAGAAGATGTTTGAGGCTTTTCTGGTGCCTATACCCAACAAACCTTCTTCTTAATAGGTAGGGTCTCTAATATTTGTGGTTTTCCTCCTCTTATTCACCAATTTGAGTGTACCAACCTTCGATTGATTTACCTAGATGTTCTAGGTGAGGTACCAAGTATAGTTGCTAATTCCTATTCATTATGAAGAGTACATAGACTTAGGTACTGACCAAGGGGTTGACCAAGGCAAAGGAAAGAAACACTCAAACTCGAAGGACTTTTACTTAACTTTTGGAGTGCACTTTTCCGTAAGTTGAGGACAAAAGAAGAATGACTATTCTTCGTGAAAGGTAATATTCATGGAAACAAAAGAATAATATTGATTTGCAGGATGATAGCACTTGAGTCCTTCTTGTCATGGGCATAACCCAAGAAATACTTAACGACTCAGTGCTGTATATGAACATGAAAAAAGGCAATACTATAGGGCTTATATTGCCAGGAATATGAGACATTAACCGATTTGTCAAATAGGATACAATTAGATTAGCTTCCCCAATAAGAATCAGAAACAAATGTCTGGAATAGTAATGCCGTAGTGATTTCGAGTAGGTAATGGTTTTTTCATTCAGCCATGGTAGTCAAAATCAAGACCCTACCTAAGATTGGAAGAGGTGTGAAGGATTGTAAATCGTGTGATCAAACTATAGATTTTAAGATCATACCTAAAATACAAAATTATAACCAAACATTAATGTATGCATATAAAAATAGCATAGATGTTAGAAATATTATATAAAAACCGTTCATGTGTCTTCACCTAATAGTTTAAGCTTTTGGGAGAGTTGGTTGTATGATATAGTCTAAGAGCCTCTATGACCAAGTGGTCTAGCATTCGATCATTGCAGCCCTTATTCTTCTAATTAAACGTAGAATTTCAGTATAAGGCAGGGCCTGTGCTTGTCCATATTTCAAGTCCAAAGGGCTTTTGCATGAGGGGGCACATTAGAAATATAATATAAAAACATTTCATGTGTCTTCACCTAACACCTTAAGATTTTAGGAGAGTTGATTGCATGACAATAGATATGAAAAATAACTTTTAAATCACAATTAACATTTAATCAACCTTAAATTAGAAATACAAAAAAAAAAGGTCACACAATTCACAAGTAACACTTTAATCTAAAAGACATAGTCAAACTTAATGTTTTATTCTTTGGAATTGTAATATTTAGGGAATTATGTGGGGTATAACTAGTTATTTTATTAATCCTAGGAATTGTCATGTGAAATTAGAATACTAATTTTAAATGGCATGCCAAGCTCACTATTTGGAATTAGAAGCTCAATTTCAATTCTTAGTTCAATTCTAACCACCAAATAGGGCCTGATATAAATTAAGACTCGAAGCATCTATTTCTAAGCCACATTCACTATTTGGTGGTGAATGTCTTGTATCTTATTCCTAAGTTTTGTTGTGCCTGGTTGGCTGTAAATGCACTAATTTAGGTTCTTCTAATGATACATATCTCGAGTAGTAATGGAGGGTTAAAATCTGTTATCCTCCAGAAGGTTTAAGTATTTCCTTCCACGATGAATTTGTGCCCTGTAAGTATTTTAATGATGAATTTTTATATAATGCAGATCTTGATGCAGATAATATGTCAAACTTCATTGCTAGTTATGCTGTTAGCATTCCAAATTTAGCGGTGAGGAACTTCTCATGAATGCTACTGGTAATGTCCTTGATGCTATGTGATACTTGGAGGCTATTCTGCCTGTCTACAGTTTGCTTCAACCTAGAGCTGTTTCTAGTTTTACATTGTAAAGCTACCTGAGATTTCAGTCTCAATGGATGTTGTATGAAATTCAGTTTGCTAGTTTCTACTCGCGACTTAACAAATATTTTATGGATTATTGCTTGATAATTGATCTTAACTACTTAAGAAAATGAACAAATAGACTCTTCCAAAATATTTGAAGTTGTTGCAAATAGAACAGGCAAAGAAGGGATTGTCCAAATGGGGAATGCACATACGCATGGGTTAGGATTTGTTGACATCAAAATGAATCTTACACCCATGAATGCTGTTGGATTGAAACTGTGCATCTTTCATATCATTCTAATAAAATTTTACATTGATCTAAGATTGTCGTTGAGGATCAACTCTCCTACAAGGTGAAGTTATTAGGTGGTAGCTTATGGATTTTTTTTTCTTTTTCTTTTTGATACTCTTTTGTACCTTAGATGGCAAACTTGGAGCAGTGATAAAATTATTCCTTGGTGATCGAAGGTCACAGGTCTGACTGTAGGAAACAACCTCTTTCTAAAAAATGTAACGGTAATGCTATGTAAAAGGATTTTCTACAATCGCAAGTTGAGATTTCACGAGGAGTGATTTTTATACTCTTTTGCACTTGTATCATATAATTAATTAGGCATTGAATTATACAAAATTAATATTTTGATCTTGCACATCAAATTTCATAAAACTTGAACAACTATGAGTATGTGATTAAGTGGTGATTATTTTTTGTTTGAAAAGCGCATTACACAATAATTTTAATGTACATTTATGGAGGAAAAAAACAAATGTTAGATATAAAAATATACATGGGCTGCCACGTAATAGCTTAAGCTTTTCCAGAGTTGGTCATTGATATGGTTTTAGAGCCTATGTAACCAGGTACTTAGGAGTTTGATCCTTGATGCCTTCAATATTTTAGTATATGAAGATGGAAGCCCATGAATAGTTTTATATTTCTAATAGTATTGAATATCTTTTCATCTTATATAGTACATAAACTTTACGAATTTAAAGGTATTAAAGAATTTCATACATGCTTTAGTTCATTTTGCACAATTCAAAACCAAAATTGAGCATTTCCCATTTTATATAGTACATAAAATGTTTGAAAACTGATTTTTCCCTTGTTGACCATTTTAGGCAAAAAAAGAAAAAGTGATACCAAAGTAAGGCAAATGGTATGCGAATACGTACCTTAATAGGTGCCTAGGTAGATAGTATTCCCTAGAAATATTCTATATCTTATTCACTTTATGATTTTGTAGAACCATTTGCTGAAATGGTTGGGACATAGACTGCCCTGTATCTCCAAACAGAGGGCATGAGGGAAAGAATTGGGGGCGGTTGGAAAGAGGGATTCTCTCACTCCCCAAACCAAAAAATGTAGTGATATGTTAAAATTTACCGTTATTTTGAACAGTGTCTTATTAAATGAATGAAGTTGACCTTGGAAAGTTGTGAATATTTTCATAAGAATCGCTGCCCATTTTGTTTATGATTATCATATGCTTTATTATTTTGGTGATTAAGTTTATATTTACTTAAAATTTTGCTGCTTTATTATATGTACTTATAATTCAAGAAATAGCTTTTTTGCAAATATGCAAGGATAAAGTTAGGTACAAAAAGTGCCCCCTCCTGCTAGTCAGGGTTAATGGGAAGGTTTTATTTATTTATTTACTTATAATAGTAACACATGACAAAACTATTTCTACTGTGCTGCTGCTGCTTCTTCTTATGTTCAGAAGTTTCATCACTTAATTGTTTTATATCTTTTTATATTACCGTTTACCTTGTGACAAATAAACTAGCACTCCAGGTTCTCATTTGGGTCCCCCCACCCTCTGCTTTTTATAATTTTCTATCAATGCCAACATATTTGAAAGTATTTTGTATCTTTAGCTTTTGATATTGATAGCACAAGGTTCTTCAAAGTAGGTTGTGATGCTTATTTCTTTTGAAGTTTCTCAAACCTTTGTGGTTTACTAATTGCTTTGTTTTAAGCACTACCTAGTCCTTCTTTATTGCCATGAGATTGAGATTCTAAACCACTGTGCATATATATTACTAAAATGCATAATTGCATGTGAAAGTTTGAACATAGTTAAGAGGTGTCAGCAAGTTTTTTTATTTATTTTATTTATTTTTATTTTTTTATCATACAAGTTATTTGGCATGGTATTTGCCTAAAGTAGTTGTATGTTATGAAAAAATGGTTTTATTTTTGTGTTTTCTTATGTGCGTTGTTGGTAATGTGGAAGGTTGAGGATATCATCTCAAAAATCAAGAATTTGCATGAAACATTGGAAGTTTTGCCTTCATCCTCTTCATATGAAAAGCTCATCTTTTATTGCTGTGGCTTACACAAGGTATAACCTCTTTATTCATTCTTGAATCTTGGGTATCAATTGTTTGCAAGAATCTCGTCCACGAGAAAGAAATAAAAAGCTAGAAGGAAAATGATAACAAAATGAGTGCCCCCTCCAGAATGCCCATAGAACACTTAAACCCTGCTTTAGGCATCCATCACTTGCTTTAACATAGTCTAACGAACAAAATTTGGCCAATTGGAAATAGTAATATATTTATCATTTACAGTAAATTTTATCAAATGAATTTATTAATTTCATCAGTTCCTTTTTTACCTCATTACAAGTGACATTACTGGTTCTTCCTTTTCTTTAATTGGCATTAATCTTTTACTGATTGATAGATAATATTTCAGAATCACAGCCATTGCTGGGTCCGCTGACGTTTGAAAGCTCGACTAGTCTCAAGATTCATAAGAAAATAATAGAGTGACAAAAAAGTGATATCACCCAGCACTCTGTCTTCTACAGTGTTTAAAAACTTAATCGAAGATTGAACAGGCAAAACCTTGGGTTTATGTTTCGAATGGATCAACCAGTTAAATTTATGATTGAACCATGGTTGAACCGGATAATATTCAAATTAGAGACATAGCTGGGTCATTTCACATACCCTTTTTTCAGTCACTAGGAAGTTATCTGTATCCTCAACTAGACAGAGGAGCAGGAACAGACAGAGGGGAAAAGGGGTAATCATAGGCCTTGGCAGTTATACTATCCCGGCCTCACTTGGGTCAAATGGACATGTCCTAATATCTGGGACTGCATTTAAATGTGCACTAAATATTCCTTCTGTATTCCCGTCACTCACTCTACTCTGATTCATTGGAACCTGTGCTTTCTTCAAAAGCTTTTGCTAGCTTGTTGAATGCCAATAGGCCTAACATTATTGTCAATTTTGAAACTTATTAGATTTGGTTTCCTTATGTTCACCATCCTACTAGCTAGAAAAACATACCCCGCTCATTCTGCTCTTTGCTTGATATGAACTACTTCTTTCCTGGTCTGCAGCTTTTATTGACAAGTGTGAGATTTTATTGATCTCCTTTGAAGTTACTAATTACTGATTTCTGTCATCCGTGCTGAAATGTTCCCTTTCAGAGATACTCACCTAGAATGTGATATCTCCTTAACAAACTATGTAAGTGACAATAGTTCTGAGACTTTCCATTCTAGACTAGACACTTAACCCTCAAAACATTGAGATTCTCTGGTTCTGTAGAAAGTTCAGCATTGGGAGGTCAATGGCACTTAGGAAGAGCAAGAGAAGCGGCTATAGAATATGAAAGGCACATTATTCTAATTTCATGTTTCTATGTTCTATTACATTTATGTGACAGAGATCTTGATGTGTTTGATTTGTTATGCCCATTATTTTATGATTTATGAAACAAACTTTCCTCTTTTTCATATACCTCTGGCTACCATGGAGACTACATTTGAATTAAATTTCTTGTTTTTTTTTTTTTTAATTGCAGGTTGATGTAGCTCTTGATATTGTTGATATAATGTGTAAAGCAGGCTTTACCTTGACAACTGAGGTGTTACAATCCATATTACAAATTTGTGAGGAAACTTATGAATATATTTTGGTATGTTACATTTTCCAGACAACAGCTTTCCTGTTTCTTCTTTGTGCTATAACTTATATAATAATCCATTCATCCCTTCTCACAACATATATCATAAAATTTTGCCCTTAAAATATCGAGCTTGAAGTAGTCAGTATTTGAGTTGTACCAAAGAACTGTCTAGCCTTTTCACCAAAAAAAAAAAGAACTGCTTGAAGAATTAATTTATTTATGCACTCCGATACTTGAAAGTCCTTTGGGGCCGAAAGGGAGGACAAACCGACAAATTATAAGCTAAAACTACCTTTTACTGAAATTTAATTTCAATGTGAAGATAATGGGGTGGCAATCATTTGACTCTTGCTTGTTAATGGAGGCTCTAATACCACCTTAAGCTTAAAATATAAGGTGAAGGTCCAAGACTGGGTGAAATCTTTCTTAATTATAATGAGAAGGAAAATAGTGCATTATACAACATCATATAATGTCTAATTTTCATGAAACTGAACCCTCTTTGACCATAATTATCTAAATGATGCACCCGAGCTGACTGACTTGGATTGAGCTTTTCTATAATTTATTCCATAGTTTAGGACTTTTCAGTAATTGTTAATTATTTCCCTTTTTGTTATTTTTAGATTATGTTTGAGTGTGCGTTGATTGTGCGTTATCTCCTTTGATTGCGCATGATTATAGTTATTTACTTTTTTGTTATTTTATTTTTCCTATTTAAAGGCTTGGAGAACCCAATTGTTATCAGGTTGTTTTTTGGTTAAATAAAATTAAAAAAAGAGAAAAGTGTTTTCTCGCAATTCTTGTTTCGTTTTTCTTTCTGTTTAGCCAATTGGTTACTGCTTCGGCATTACTAAATTTTTAAGGTTCCTTAGAGTGACCAACTCAACTTTTAGAATACTTTTGTCGCAGACTCAAAGCTTGTCAATTTATGCACGTTCATTACATGCATTATACAGGAAAAAAGTAACTGAAAATGTCCAGGGGCAAGAAAATTTTATCATGTCATGATATCAATGAGAACTAAATAGTGGTGTTTATGTTTCCTTTCCCATTTCTGTATTTTCAGGTAATTGCATACATAAAACAGAAGTAGGAAAAACTTCAAATTTAATATCTCATTAGAGCTACACGATTTTGTGCTGAAATCGACTGTGTGCTGATGTTTAATTATTTTAAGCCTTCTTATTAATCATAATATACTGATATCTATTTTTTTCTCTTCTTCCTTGCTTTCTAAAAATCAAGGTCCATCGAATCTACTCCATCATATGTCGCTACCATTTGGAGTTGAATGGTGAAATATGCAGGTGTTTGGTACAATTTTGTGTGAGGATAAAAGATGTAAGTTGTATCTTACTATTTTATTTACATGGTTGCATTCGTAAGTTTTTACAATCTAATCTTTTTAAGTTGGTGATTTCCTTGCTGTAAGGTCAACTTTTTAGCAAACTTATATTGTATTCACTTTGTGACGCAGTTTGAAGGTGCATACAAGATGATTGATAACTTAGAGGAAATGAATTTCAAACCGACGCCGCACATGTACAATGCTATAATGGCAGGATATTTTCGAGAGGTGACATTCTTGGATTTTTGGATACCTCTGTTCTCACTCAGACTTTCTACTATATTTCCAACAAAATTTGAATGCTTTGCTTTAATTTCAAATGTAATATGTGGCAATTTTTGTCGTTTCCAACAAGAAGTTCAAATAGCCTCTTGACATGTAGTCTACAGGTTTTAGAAATTAGATTGCATGGTGATTTATCTTATACACGCAAGATGTACGTATAGATGGATATATATAAATAGTACATTTATGAATGAGTACACCGTGCTTCGTGATGAATATACTTGGAGAGAATTCTTCAATACCTTAAAGCCACTCTTGGTAAATGACTGTTATTCCGGCGTGATGACAATCTCTCTTTAGAAGTTTATACTGATGCCGATTATGCTGGATTCGTGAGTGACCGTCGATCTACCATTGGTTATTGTATGTTCCTTTGCGGTAACTTAGTGACATGGAGGAGTGAGAAATAAGATGTGGTTGCCAGGTCAAGTGTAGAGGCTGAATTTCGAGCTCTGGCTCAAGGCATTTGTGAATTATTGTTTTTCAAGATTATACTTGATGATCTTAAAATAAGATATGAAGGACCTATGATGCTACTTTGTGATAATAAGTCAGCCATTTGTGTAGCTCATAATCCAGTTCAACATGATCGGACTAAGCATATTGAGGTCGACCGTCATTTCATTTAAGAGAAACTGGATAGCGGGGGTATCGCCACTCCATACATTCCTTCTGCGCGTCAATTAACTGATATTTTGACGAAGGGACTTCCCTCAGATAGATTTTAAGAGCTTATTAGCAAGCTAGGAATGATAAATATCTATTCCTCAACTTGAGGGGGAGTGTTGTAAATAATTGTATTGTAATTATTTCTTTTTATTAATAATTGTAATTATTTATTTTTCATTCTAAAATCTTTTTTGAGTTTAGCCCATTAGGTCATTCTGTCTCTATAAATAGAGAGCTCTTGTACATTTGTAAAATATAATTTTCACATAATACTATCCTACTTTTCATGTTCTTTTTTTTCAAGTGACATTCTTGAGGAGACAACTCTGTTAAATGCGTAGGCAGTCGATATTCCTATAGATCCAAATGTCAAACTTCTACCAAATTAGGGGGAGCTTTTGAGAGATCCAGAAAGGTATAGAAGATTAGTTGGGAAGCTAAACTACCTTATAGTCACTCGATCAAACATCTTGTTTGCTGTCAGTGTGGCAAGTTAGTTCCTAAATTCTCCTTGTGAAAATCACTGGAATGCAGTGATTCATATTCTCATGTATATCAAGATAGTTCCAGGAAAAAGGTCTTTTCTATGGAGACAATGGTCATGCCCGAGTTATGAGATACTCTGATGCTGATTAGGAAAGTTGCCCCATTGATAGGAGATCCACCTTTGGGTATTGTGTATTTGTTGGAGATAATTTAGTACCCTGGAAAAGAAAGAAATAGTGTGTAGTTGCCGGATCGAGTGCTGAAGCAAAGTATTGTTTCATGCCCACAACCACTTGTGAACTCATCTTGCTAAAACAACTGCCTAAGGTGCTAAAGTTTGGAGACACTAGACCAACATCTCTCATTTATGATAATCAAGCTGCTTTATATATTGCTTCAATCAGTGATACATGAAAGGACTAAGCATATTGAGATAGATTGTCATTTCGTTAGAGAAAAGATCGTCCCGGAGATATCGTCACCAATTTTGTTAACTTAAATGATCAACTAGCTAATGTGTTCACTAAGTCTTTGAGAGGTTCTCGAATAAATCACATTTGTAATAAGCTTGATGTATATGATCTATATGTTTTAGTTTGAAGGGGAGTGTTGTAAATGTAGTATAGTGTGAGGAACGAAGTCCCACATCATGTATATCTCTTTGTAATTTCTTTTCATTTAATTATATAATAGAGCCTCTATTGTGTAGTTGAAACACAGATGTCAGTATATGCCTCTCGAGTCTTGATATTTAACCATATTCAAATTCCGCAAATCATTGTTTGACTTGAGACGGTCACCTCGGGCTTGGTTACCTGCTTTAGTTCAGTCAAGTATTTGGCTTAACTCATAGCAAAATTGATCTTTTTGTTAGAGATTGGAATTGTTCTCTTGATTAGTCCATCTATCTCTTTGTATGTGTGGATGACATTGTTATCACCGACAGTGATTGAGTTGGATTGAACAATTGAATCGATACTTTTTCAACCATTTTGAGACCAATGATCTTGGCAAGCATCGGTATTTCTTAGGCGTTGAAGTGATACAATTTAGACATGGGATTTCCATCTCTCAAAGAAAGTATGCCTTGGATATCTTGGAAGAAATTGGCACGTTGGGGTGCAAACCCATTGATACACCTATGGATACGAACCTCAAACTTCTACCTGAAAAGGGGGAGCTATTAACAAACCCCAACTGTTATCGGAGGCTGGTTGGGAAGTTTAGTTACCTCAGTATAATAAGACTAGATATCTCCTTTGCGGTAAGTTTGGCAAGCCAAATTCTTATTATGTTATGTGAGCACCTGGAGAACAAATTCTGACTCTCGTTTGAAAAACAGGGAATGGCTGACAATTTGCTTGTATTCAGGCTGTGATAATATCATGATCTAAATATACTTGATTGAATGTAATTCAATTTCATCCAGATGACACACTGATATGAATAGGTTTTCTGTAACATAATGCAAATTATAAATAAACTACTTAGGTGATTGCACTAAATCATGGCAGTTAGCAGTTAGATCATCCAGTGATGAACATAATTGCCACTTGTAGACATTATCAACACCTTGTATTTGTGGAGATTATGCAAGGTCATTCGGCCAACCGATTGGTTTCCATTTTTTTAGTCACTCCAAAATCATGCTAATGGTTTTTCTAGTTGATGTGTTAGAATGAATATGGCTGTTAATGATAATTATATAATCTTTAATGTTCTAAGACGACCTTTTAAGATGTATTTGGCAGGTCTTCTATTGTGATCTGAAAAAAGATTTGAGAAATCTGAGTTTAGTTATCTCTTTTTGTTCCCTTCATTTTCGTTGGTCAAGGAGGACTGTTTATGCTTATTTTGCACTTCGCTTCTTTCTCTTAATGAAATTTTATTCAAATAAAAAACATTTAAATAAAAATTTGGAACTTTCTTCAAATAATGCATCCCTTTTCTTACCTTTTTCTGATATTTTGTAGAAAAACATCAGTGGTGGGTTGAGGGTCTACAAGCGCATGCAAGATGCCAATGTAAAACCTGATTCACAGACTTTCAGCTATTTGATCATGAATTGTGAAACGGAAGATGATATAATCAAGGTAATTGAGTTTAATAGTATTATAATAATACTTCACTTTAAATTGGGCATAAAATCTAATGTTTTGGTCATTTCATAATTTTTTCATCTAGTGTTCTTGTCCATTGGTTATTTGTAACTTTTAATGTTGACAAGGTCTTCAAGATTATTTTCTTTCTTAAAATTAAAGGTATTATTCAATCGTAGCCCACCTCTAGAAAGAATCCATGACAGAAATGATTGTTTTTCATTTTTTCTTCCCATACCTATGTTTTTGAGCTTCGTTAAGTGTAGCATGTTTAATGTAGTATGCTGTAGCTACACCGAGTATGCACTTGTCTCCTTTTTCCATTTATATGTAATGCTGTCTTTTATTTATTTTGAAATTAGCGGGGTTATGCACTAATGAGCTTAGGCACTAAAGGCCCTGCTTTTGAGGTTTAACAGTTTATAATTCCTCTAATGATAATGTATAAAAGATACTCATCTAGTTGCAACGAACAAGCTTAAGGGTTTGCTTGCCTCTGAAAGATGTCGAGGAGATTTTTACTTTCCCTTTAAGGGATGGGGTAAGTTGTTTACTTTTTTCCATTTCCTGGTATGTACTCTAGGCTAGTCTTTGGTTATATTTTATCACTAGAATTTGACTCGCTTGAATGTCGTTATTTACATTCTATTTAAATTTGAAAAACTTGAATGAGTAAGAACTAAATATTATTTTTGAATAATTCAAATTGTACACATCTTTATTTACTGTATATACACCTAGCTAAATAATTATTTGCCTAAAATAAAGCTCAATCTATGGAAACTGTTGAGATATATAGTCCCACATTGGTTGTATGTGCAACTAATGTGGAGTTTATAAGGCCTTGGGCACTCCCACCCTTTGAGCTAGCTTTTGGGGTGGTGTATCCCAAGGTTCTTTATATGGTATCAGAGTCTCGCCGCCCCCCACTTTCTCTTGTGGCGTTTCTTAGCACAGGTAGTCTGGGCCTGTTGCATTGTTTACTCTTCAAGCCCAATGGGCTCTCGTGTGAGGGGGCGTGTTGAGATATATAGTCCCACATTGGTTGTATGTGCAACTGATGTGGAGTTTATAAGGTCTTGGGCACTCCCACCCTTTGAGCTAGCTTTTGGGGTGGTGTATCCCAAGGTTCTTTACATGGTATCAGAGCCTCGCCGTCCCCCACTTTCTCTTGTGGAGTTTCTTAGCACAGGTAGGTTGGGCCTGTTGCATTGTCCACGCTTCAAGCCCAAAGGCTCTCGTGTGAGGGGGCGTGTTGAGATATATAGTCCCACATTGGTTGTATGTGCAACCAATGTGGAGTTTATAAGGCCTTGGGCACTCCCACCCTTTGAGCTAGCTTTTAGGGTGGTGTATCCCAAGGTTCTTTACAGAAACTAATTACCTATCGTAATAATCATGTAATTTACAATAATTAAAATAGGTACAAGGAATATCTTTTTTAATGTTCATGGGATTGTTACAACACACCCTGTCATGCTGATGAATAAATATCTAACATTTCTAGTTTGCTAGTAAGATCTTAAAACTTTTGTGTGAGTTATGTTTTACTTAACACGCTTTTAACTGAAACATGCTGTGTTGATCTATCCACTGTCGAATTTGTTCTTGATAAAGTACCAATCTATATCAATGGGTTTTGTCCTATCATGCCGAGGATTTCTAATGTCTGATTTGTTATCACAAAACACTTCATAGGAATTTTTCGTACTTTATTCTAAGATCATCATCCAATGTAATTTTTGTCCATAGTAACTCAAAAACTCTTTGTGCCATAACTCAACTCAGCCTTTGCTCTTGACCAAGCAATCACGTTTTGTTTTTTAGTCTTCCTTGTTTCTATGTTTCCACCCAGAAACATACACTAACCGAAGGTGTACCTCCTTCGAATGACTAATATTGCATAATCAGAATTTATATACACTTCAATAGAGAGATTTCCACCCCTTCTAAATAATAATCCTCTCCCAGATGTAGTTTTAGCTACCGTAGAATTTTGTCCATGGCCTGCATGTGTCTCACGCTCATATCTTGCATGAATTGGCTAACGATATTGACAAGATTTGCTAGATCTAGAATGTGCTAGGTATATCAATTTCGCTACTAACCTCAATATTGAGCTCTATTAAACTTGGGACTCTCTACTAACCTCAAGATTTGCTCAATGGGTACACTAGTTGCCTTACAATCTAGCATTCTGGTCTCTTTGAGAGGATCAAGAACATTCTTCAATTGAAAAAAGGATGCCTTGTTTTGAGTAGGCGACTTCAATCCCAAGGAAATACTTTAGCCTTCAGTGATTTTTTATTTCGCATTTTTCCTTTGGCTGTTTTTTCTCAATTAAGTCATCGCTTGATATAACAATGTCATTAACACACAAGTAGGATAGTGAGTTTACTTTTTTGTGAATGTTTAACAAGAGGGTACGATCATCCTGACTTTGTCGGTATCCTAAGGATGTTTTTGCCTATGCAAAACTTCCAAACCATGCACGGGAAGACTACTTCAATCTATATAAAGCTTTTTTCAACTTACACCTTATTTTTCTCCACTTGTGGAATCATATCTGAGTGAAATTTCCATATGAACTTCTTCCAAATCTCCATGCAGGAAGACATTTTTAACATTAAATTGGTACAATTCCCACCCAAAGTGAGCAACAAGAGAGTAAGAATCTCATTCGTCTTAATTAGTGTAGCAAATGTTTCCTAATAGTCAATTCTGTAAATCTGAGTGTATCCTTTCACTTCTAACCTTGTCTTTCACAGCTATCTTAAACCTATATTTCAAGGTATATATCCATTTGTACCCCATTAGCCTTTTGTCTCTTGGTCTCTCAACAACTTCCCATGCTCCATGCTTTTCCAACACACTCATCTCCTTGTTAATGGCTTGAACCCAGTTCTTATCCTTCAATGCTTCTTGTATTGATGTTGGGATTCTGATAGAATCCATGGCTAAATTATATATCTTGTGCAAGCAGTAAGTCATTTGAGTTAGGGTCATAGTTCTTCAAAGGAATCTTTATTGTATCAGGTTTAGAAATATGAAAACAAGTATTTTCAGTACTTAGCGTAGGTTTCGACCTGAAGCTGCTGTTGGGCCAATTCAGGATATTCCTTCCTCTCATACACCAGTTTTGGTTTGCTGGCCTTGGCCTTCAACTTAGCTGGTTCACAACATGGAAGCCTGTTCAATGGTAAACACTGGATGTTGCTCTTCGACTTGCACGTCGAAAAGATGACGTGGCCTTATAGCTTTAGTGTTTGGAGCAAGAAAGAGCGGTTCTTGTTAGAGATAGCCCGGATGATGTCATGAATGGCTTCAGGGTAACTTCAACCTTTTGTGGGCTGATGATTTCAACAAACCGTCTATGACCATGAATGATTTGTGGGTCAAAAACCAAACTTTAGCTTTATTGTTGAAGGGGATATTTTTAGCTGTAGTTTTAAAGTAGCTTTTAAGCTAAAAAAGGCTGGGACAAATAAGCTAATTTTTGTGCATTAAGAGAAAAAGGGATTTAGAAAAGGTCTCTACTTATGGAATGTTTTCCCTCAAAGCTGAGGACAAGTAAATAAGGACTAATCTTCGTGAAAATTGACATCTATGGAAATGAAAAAAATGACAACACACAGGGTGAAAGTATAATATCCCAAACTTAAGCATTTAATTGATTAAATTTAATTAAATAATTAAGCATGTTTTAGTGAATAAAATTAAGTATAAGACTTAATTAAATGAATCTGAGTCACTTTGGAGTTAAAAAGTGTACTCAGTGAAAATTAAGGGGTATAAATGGGTACTGGCAAAAGTGCCCAAAATATAAAAATAAAATTATAAGTATTCCTAGAATAATATTCCAGACTTTTGGGTAAAGTTTGGTAATTAATGGAGTTGAATAGATAGACGAACTAATACCCGCATTATTTCACTTAACCAATGTTAAGTGATAAAGAACACAAAAGAACCCAAACCCCCCCAAGCAACCCGTCGAGCATCAGAGAAGAGGAAAGGAAGAAGGAGAAAGAAGAAGAAGGGAAAGGAGGGAGGAAGAGAGAGTGAGAGCAAATCTTAACCGTTTTGGGTGATTCAAAAGCCTAAACTACTCTAAATCTTCCCCTCTTTCATAATCCAAGCTTAGTTTTGAGTGGGGAGCATTGTGGAGAGGGATATTGCCCCTCAAAAATTCGGCCCTTTGTGAGATTTTGGGGTTTTGGGGGTTTCAACCTCCATGGAAGCTTGAGGAACACTCATTCCTCTATTGTGTGATCATTGGTGGTAAGTTTCCACTCTCTTTCACATGATTCTTGGAGATTTGCATGAGTTTAGGGTTAATGAATAGTGTTTTAGGGTTTTTATGAAATGTTGAGTAGATTGGCTATGTTCAAGGAAGAATGAGGCTTAGAGTATGTTGTGAAAAATGCTAGGAATGACATTTAATCGGTAGAAATGAGTTTATAGTGTTATTTTAGTATGCTTTGATGTTTGGAGAAATCTAGGCTTGGAACTATGGATTTCCTTGCATTGTTAGCATTGTTTGATTGTATTCCTTGTGTTGATAGGATTGAGGCAAGAGGACCAAGTGGAGTGACCAACCCTTGGGGTTGTGTGCAATTGAGGAAAGCTCAAGAGCAAGGTAAACCTTTGGACCTTGTGGTTGATCCCATTGAGTGTTCCACCATACTCCGTTGAGGAGAAATGGTTTATGAGATGTGATATGTAATTATGATAGTGATTGTATGCTCATGCATTGATTCATGCATTGATACATGTTATGATTGATTGATGATTATTGGTTGATGTTTGATTGTTTAAGAGTAATTGAGGAATGATTATAGAAGTGGCAATAATGAATGAGGTAATGGTTGAGGATTGTGATTGAGGTTATGAGTGATAGTATTATGATGAGGATGATTGGTAGGAACTTCCCTTGGAAACAGCCCTATGTGGATCTCCATGTGGTTAGAGCCTAAGAGGAACAGCCCTATGTGGATCCCTCTTGGAGGTTCCTAGATTGAGGAAAGGACTTCCCTTGGAAACAGCCCTATGTGGATCTCCATGTGGTTAGAGCCTAAGAGGAACAGCCCTATGTGGATCCCTCTTGGAGGTTCCTAGATTGAGGAAAGGACTTCCCTTGGAAACAGCCCTATGTGGATCTCCATGTGGTTAGAGCCTAAGAGGAACAGCCCTATGTGGATCCCTCTTGGAGGTTCCTAGATTGAGGAAAGGACTTCCCTTGGAAACAGCCCTATGTGGATCTCCATGTGGTAAGAGCCTAAGAGAAACAGCCCATAGTGGATCTCTCTTGGAAGTCCATGTGATGCTTGTGGATAAGAATGTGTTAAGCTATTATGATTATGTGTACATCAAAGTGAACCTTAGGGTGGAGTGATCTCCAAGGACCTCTGGTTTACTGTGATATATTCGTATATCTCACCCCGTGTTGTGGGGCATCATTTCAGGTACTGATAGAGGTGAGGTTGATCGAGGCAAGAAGCATGAGTAGACTGTACCTGATAGCTGGACATGTTGAGTTGCATGCCATTTAGCATTGCTATATGTATATTTTGATGCCACATGATGTATTTTGGAGGACTTAGTGCATGATCATTGTAGTAGTAATGGGTATCTGATACATGGTTACTTGCTTTGATCATGTTCATTTTGTAGCTAAGTCCTTTGGCATGTATATGAGATTTGTAATTAAGACATGATGTAATATTGTAAGTAATGAAGATATTTGTGTATGATGCTTACTGTAAGTTAAATGCATGAATGTATTTTTATGTATTGGATATGTTGAGCTGGAAAGTCAATTAGGTACCTTGTGCTAAGTTGGGAAACGTTGAGAAAACAAAGGTTATGCTGCCCAATTTCTGTTAAATCAATGATGAGAGGATGAGAGTCAAGCAATGATATAGGGATATCACAAGCTTGTTAAATAGGTTGTAAAATGTGTAGGATTGATTCCCCAAGAAAGATGCATGAAAAATATGAGTATAGGAAATTGCCCAGAAGAGGGGGCTTAAGCCTGCAAATGGAGGCTTAAGCCTGCTCAGGGGGCTTAAGCGCCCATGAGGGGGCTTAAGCGCCCTGATGCACCTGTGAAGACCAAAAGCTTTCTGCCGCATGGGGCTTTAGCGCCCAAAATGGGGGCTTAAGCGCCCAGGTAGCGCGCTTAAGCGCCCTGGAGCGAGCTTAAGCGCCCTTGGTGGCTAAAAAATGTAAATTCCCTCTGTCTGTGGGCGCTTAAGCGCCCTGGAGCGAGCTTAAGCGCCCTACCCGCGTAGTTTTTCAGCATACACCTGAGTTAGTAAAATTGTCATAACTTGAGCTACAGAGCTCCAAATGAGGAGCAGTTTGAAACCACGCGTAGCTAACGAAGAGATCTACAATATAGTAGAAATTGTGAAATAAATAGGAAGTAAATTAATGGTTTATAAATGGAATAAGAACATGATGTTAAGCTTAATTTATCTGATTCCGCAAGGTAATATGGTTATGATCACGCAATTGGCTATTTTAAATTCGGCGTCGTTTTAAAAAGAAAAACTTATCTGGATTTTAATTGAGCCAATGTGATTGTAACTGCGCTTAATATCATAATGCGATGTTAACAAACCGGTTCTAGAACGGGGCGTTACATTTTATGGTATCAGAGCAGTTTCGTCGGGAATAACTGTTAGCTATTGTTGAGTATGCTTAGTGTTTGATGCTTTATAGTTGTTTTAGTACTCTGTATGATTATTGCATTTGTGATCACTAAGTGTGGGCCTGATCAACTCACTTCTTTGTGTAACATGTGTAGTGACATGACGAGGAACCGAAACAACCCCGGACCATCAAACACCAATGCTCAGCCAGAACCTGTTTTGGCTGCTCTTGTGAGGCCCAGAAGTGGCCGTGGTGCAACGGGCGTACCGCCTGATCCCGTGGCTGAAGCTCTTGCAGCCGTTCAGAGAGAGTTGGCTGCTAGCAGGCAAGCCAATGAAAATTTGTTAAAGACAAATGAAGACTCGCGGACTGCTATGGCCGCGATGATGACCGAGTTGAGGATGTTGAGGGGTCCTAGGCCCGTGAACCGGCAACCCACTCCTCCTCCTCACGCTGCTACGCCTTCTCCACCTCCTTCACAGGAAGAGGGTGTAGCGGGTAACAATGAAGGTGAGGCTAGCCACCATTCTGATAGTCATAGCCATCACACTGAGGTCCGTCAACCACGTGTTGAGCGTGTTAACGAGCATGAAGCTGAAGAAAGAAGATTGATGGCTTTCCGAAAACACAAACCTCCTTCTTTTAAGGGAGGTTATGAGCCAATGGCGGCTGCGAAATGGCTCCAAGCTATGGAGAAGATATTCAGGGTGATGAGATGCCCTGACGCAATGAAGTTAATCTACTCTGTTTATATGCTGGAAGAGGAAGCGGAAGATTGGTGGACCAATACCGTGCAGCCATTAGAAGCTGAAGGCCGGGAAATCACCTGGCGGTTGTTCGAGACATTGTTCTTGGATAACTATTTTCCTAGGGAGGCTAGGGAACAGAAACAGAATGAGTATAACGATCTCAAGCAAGGGTCGATGACAATTGACCAATATTTCGCCAAGTTCAATGAATTGGTGAAATATGCTAACTATGGGAGAGCCTTACCCATTCCGGCCGAGATGACCTCTAAATTTCAATGGGGTCTAAATGAGAAGATGTCTCGGAAGATGTCAAATTGTGACATCCGAGAGTTTAGTAGATTCGTGAACCAATGCCGGAAGGTGGAAGAAGTTTATGGTGTGCTGAAAAGTAAGAAGTCTTCCGAGGCACAAGCATCTGGTGCTAGTGGAGCAACTGGCTCTACTTCAGAAAAGGGTAAGAAGATGGATGACAGGAGTATTAAAGAAAGATTACAAGCTAAACAATCTGAGGAAAAGTTTAAGAGAAGCGGGAGTCAACAGAGTTGGGACAATGAAAGACCTCTTGTGCCCCAGTGTGACAACTGTGGGAGGCATCACAAGGGCGTTTGTTTGATGGGTCAAAACGTATGTTTCAAGTGTGCTAGACCTGGTCACTATGCGAGGGATTGTCCCCAGATCGTGGGACGAGTTGCTCATGTGCAAGTGGTCTATGACCCTTCAGCAGCGGCAAATGTTAGCACTTCGACCCAACCCCAGCTAGAGAGGTTCCCACGCTTGACGGGAGGTATGACGCATGTAGATTAATATGAC